ACAGCTGGGGCCTGTTGCAGTTCTTTGCTGGCAGAGGAATTGGTTTCAGGTCGCTTTACCTCCTCTCTCTTCCTGAAATCTCTTGCATAAAACAAACCATGAAAGGGCAGGGGTGGCTTAGTGGTCTGGCAACGTCCCTTTGAAAATAAACAAGTGCAGAAACTGAAAGCCAACGGCCATCTCTGGGGACTACTTGGAGAAACAGTTTGGGGCCAGTGCATCCGCTGCGCGTGGCTCTCCTGCCCCCACCGGCGGCAGGTCGGATACGGCAAAGCCAAACAGGATCTTGATTGCTTCAGATGTCAACTCTGGCCAGGGAGACCACCCCCACCTCCAGGCCTTTGCAGAGAGAGGCTACGCTGGTGGGGTGTCTAATTGTGGGGGAAGCTGGAAGAGGTCCAGGCTAAATAGCCTCCAAGTGTTTGCACAACTGGCCTCCTGCATCTACAAATGGTGACTTCTGTTTTATAGATAGGGAAACTAAGGCAGGGGGAGCTGTGTGTGTGTGTACATGAAGAAATAGATGAGTATGAGTTTAGGATTTGGGGGGGGCAGCTTATTGAGGTATAACTTACATCCCATAAAATTCACCCACTTGAAGCATACAACTCAATGAGCTTTAAAGAAATTCACACAGCTGTGTGATCCTGCCCACAATCCAGTGTGAGAATATTTCCATCACCTCTTGTCCTTTTGCAGCCCATCCTTATTGCTCCCAGCCACTGGCAAGAAGAATGGACTCCAGTGACGGGTAACCATATCGATAAAGCTCACAAACATCATGTTGAGTAAAAGAAGCCACATACAAAAGAGCATATACTGTGATTCCATGAATGGAAAGTTCAAAACCAGGTAAAACACACCTGAGCAAAGAGAAGTTGGCAGAGTAATTGCCCTTTGGGGGTAGTGACTGGAAAGATAGCAGGGGGCTGGCTATGCAGGTGTATTCAGTATGTGCAGGTTCAGTGGACTACACCCTTACATGTTGATAAACAATTCAGAAAGGTCTTGCACAGCGCCTGGCACATAGTAGTAAATTCTTATTCTTTCATCTACACAGTATTTCCATAGGAAAGTGTGGTCGACTGCAGGAGTTGGCAAACTTCTTCTGTAAAGGGCTAGATATTAAATATTTTTGACTCTGCAAACCATACAGACTCTATGGCAACTATTTACCTTTGCTGTTGTATCGTGAAAGCATCCAGCACGGCTGTGTTCCTATACTTTATTTACAAAAACAGGGTGGTGGCTGGGTTTGCTGACCCCTCATCTAGCGAAAGACAGGCTGAGTCCCTGCAGGACTCTATCTAGTCACTTCCTTGGCCCCGATTTTTGTATCTGTATAATGGGGAGGCTGGTCTCTGCTCTAAACTACCATTCCAGGTGGCACAGAGGTCAAATGAGCTCATAACTGAGGGAGTCCCGAGGATGAAAGGAGCAGGAATTAAGAGTCACCTGAGGGATCCCTGGGTGGCGCAGCGGTTTAGTGCCTGCCTTTGGCCCAGGGCGCGATCCTGGAGACCTGGGATCGAATCCCACGTCGGGCTCCCGGTGCATGGAGCCTGCTTCTCCCTCTGCCTGTGTCTCTGCCTCTCTCTTTCTCTCTGTGTGACTATCATAAATAAATAAAAATTAAAAAAAAATATTTAAAAAAAAGAGTCACCTGAGATTCCTTGGTGCAAAGCAAATTGTTATTTCTGCCAATGTCTGAAGAGAGAAAGCCATGGAGCCCAAGTCACCCAGTGCATCCAGGGGTGCCAGTGTCCCAGAGGACCCACAGGCCTGGCACCACATCCTGGTCCTTGCCCCCCAGGGGCTTTTCTCTGAAGAGCCTGTGGAGGAAAAACACTGGTGAAGAAGGAAGGCTGGAAACTGGAGCCCTCAGTAGGCTATTCCTCTGAGACTCAAGACCCCAAAACTCCCCACTGGGGCCTGCTTTACTGAGCAGCCAGTACCGCGGCAGGGATGTGTCCTCAAATCTCCTCAGCCAGGAGCGCTTTCCCTTCTTCCTGCTTCCTGGCAGGCTTCTACTCATCCCACAAGGCAGGATTCAGACTATTGATCACTCTGGGTGGATAATCCCAAAGTCAATCATTTGGGGGAAGAGGCTGGTCTTCAGAGAGTCAACTATAACTCAGAAGGCAAGCCCAAAGCAGCCAGGGATGGGCAACTCTTGCCTTTCCTTATGTCTCATTCTCTAGGAGTTGGATTCTGGAGTCCAGATGTGATTGAAGATAGTGACTATAACAGTCATAACAGTAGCAGCTAACATTTATTGAGACTTACTATGTGCCAAGACCTGTCCCAAGCACTTTGTATTAATTCATTTAATCCTTGCAACAACCCAAATAGGCACTATTATTCTTCACATTTTATAGATGAGGAAACTGGGGCCCAGAGAGGTTACGTCACTTGGCTGAGGTGACACAACTCTGAAGTGCTGGAGTTCTGAGGATTATAGAAGAGGCTGTTTCGGAAGTCCAAAATGGGTCCATGTTACCCTGTTTATATCCTCTTCCTTAACTCTGAAATATCTAAGTCCTTGTCACATGGGAGCATTAAAAGGGGAACTAGAGGGCAGCCCCGGTGGCTCAGCGGTTTGGTGCTGCCTTCAGCCCAGGGTGTGATCCTGGAGTCCCGGGATCGAGTCCCGCGTCGGGCTCCCTGCAGGGAGCCTGCTTCTCCCTCTGTTTGTGTCTGTGCCTCTCTCTCTGTGTGTGTCTCTCATGAGTAAATAAATAAAATCTTTAAAAAAGGGGGGGGGAACTAGAGAGGGAAGAGAGAGACACTCTCTCCAAAACGATGACAGGAGTCAGAGGTACCATATGGACAACTACCTCTCCTTCTGGATTCATCCAGGAGACGCTCTAAGCCCTGGTATAGACTGCTGGGGGCTCATGTGGGAAAAAACCCAGGCTAAATGGACCTAAACCATCGAGGGTATTTATTGACACAGGATTGAAAAGTTCAGGAGGAGGGCTGGCTTCAGGGCTGGCTGGGGCCGAGTGTTCACTCGCACTCCCCATCTTTCATTCTTGTGTTCACTTCATTCTCAGACAGGACTCTCCTAACGCCGCCGCTGCGGGAATTCTCTAGTGACTGCTTTAGTAGGACTCTTAGCAGTTTCCTCAGAAATCCCAGGGCTGATTCTCACTGGGCCATGCTGGCTCATGTGATCATCCCTGAACAAACTGTGGCCAGCGGGAGGGTCCACGCTGATGGTACAAGCCGGCATCACCGGGCTGCCCCAGGAACTGGACGGGCAGGGGTGACCCCTACTGGCAGAAGAGGGGAATGCAGCCGGCTAAGAAGGTGTCTACGGGGAACTCTTGGAGGGAAATAAAGCATTCCTCGCAGGGAGAAGGGGGAGGGTTAGACTTGGCCTTTAGGGTCTGCAATCCCTCCTTGGTCTTGACTGTGAACCCCCATGACCCATGTTGGCTTGGTCTGGGCTAAGAGTGATCTGAGTTTTTCTACCTACCTCTTGCAGCCCACCTGACTCCACCTCACTGGGCTGCAGTACTGATTGCCTGGGAGCAGTTGGCCTACTGCCCCAGTTTCCTAGTTGCTTTGCCCCCATCTCTAGTCTTGATCTTTCTAATCCATGCCATTCCCTGGAAATACTATCCCAAGTCCAGCAGAGCCCTGGCTCAGAAACCTCCAGCCTGCTCCTTAGCATCAACAAGAAAAAACGAGCTTCTTAGCTCCATGCCTGGACTCCCTCCACCATCCTAGAAGCCTCCCTGACCCTGCCCCCTCATCAAGGCGTACCTCCCCTAATTCCACACTGTATTGGCCATCTTCCCACACTGGCTCATTTGTTTGCCTAGAGGGAAAAGCTCAAGCTGTGTCACTACTGCCCAGATGCCGGCACACATGATGCTCACAGGAATACCTGCAGGCTTAAATTCCCAGCTCTTGTGCACGACTGCTCCCTGATGAGTGGACATGAGAGGAAGTCAGCTCCACAGACAGATAAGAAACTGAAAGCGACAATGAACCCAAGACAGACACATAGAGAGTGAGAGAATAACTAAGAAACTTAATGGGTGCGGGGAGACAAGGGTGGTGGATCCATAGAGACAAGTCTGGAAGGAATTCCATCCAGGACAGAGCTGCAGCTACCTAGAGAGGACAGTGGAGGAGGGGGCAAAGGGTGTGAGCAGAAGCATAGTTTTGGCTAAGCAAACAAGGCCCCTATGATTTGTTTTGTCAAGTTGAACTTTATCAGGAGTTCAGGAGTTTATTTCGCGGAGCAATTAGTCCTGGTAAAAACAACAGAACATGTTAAAAGGAAGGGTAGTGGGGAGGAGAGGCAGACAAAACAAAGGCAAGAACATTTGCCTCCAGGTGAGTCTTGGCAGGCCTGGGTTAATCATCTCAGCACCTCTCAGCACCCCCACCCCCTGCAGGAGGCTCAGCCAGGCTCAGGCTTCAGGTGGACGAGGTGGCAGGGAGTCAGGCCAGAGAAAGAGAAACTAGTCAACTCCAGGGTGGGAGTCTGAGCTGGGCAAGAGAAGTACCCCAGTTGCTGGGAGGGGAAAGAACCCTAGGAAGGCTCTGGCTCTGCCCTGGTCACAAGTCACTTAGGTAGGACAAGTTAAGACATTACAATCCACCTCTGGGCTGACCTCTCAGAGTCCCCACCCTGAGCCACAGCCTCCCAAAGTCAGGGACATGGCAAACTGGTGCCCTTGACCAGGGAGCAGGCATGGCCTTTACAGGAGGGCTCAGCCTGGCTACGCAACTGGGGCTGTGTTCTCATCTCAACAAGGTGGTCTATGCACCTGCCTGAGGCACCCAGCCAATGCTTCAAGATGGCAGCTAAGGTGACCACGGGAGGTGACAGTCCCTGCCTGCAAGGAGCGTGGTGTCCTACAGTCAGGGCCACATGGTCATGTAGGAGAGACCAGAGCAGCCACCGGTGCAGGGACCTTCTCACCATCGATCAGATTTATTCTTTATTATAATGCTACAGAAATCACACTGGTGTTCATGATTTGAATTTTTTTATTTTCTGAAATGGAACCATTGTACATTGTACAAACCATATCTACTGATGGAATAAATAAGTGAAAAATTATACTGCTGTACAACACACCAAAAAAAAAAAAAAAAAACTCAACAACAAACGAACAACAAAAAACCCAAAACATAAGAGGACAAAAAAAAAAATTAGGTAACGGTGAAAAAAAGGTCTTTTTATACCTCTAACCAGGTCCTTGGCGATAATGAACATTCCAAACCATGACATCATTTGTTATGGGAGGTCACCACCCTAGAAATAGGTCCACTGCCTTCCAGGTTTGCGGGTGTAAGTGCCAGCACTTTGTGGAATGTGTAGCCGAAGCTCCCCCAACTTCATGAGTGGCGGGAGGAAGGCTGCCCTGGGAGCCCTTTAGGCCGTGGGGCCTGGTGTCCGTGGAAGGCATCTGGGGAGGACTCCTCACCCCGGCTCACTGCCTCACCGGCCGCAAGGTCTTAGATTCTGTGGTGGGAGGCGGGTGAGGGGCGCAGGGTGGGTGGGGGACGGTGGCTCCGAGCAGTGGGCTGCATCGGGGAAGGAAGCACATCTGGATTTTTGCAGTCTCACCGTCCCACGTGGAAGGCTTTCCTGGCCAGAGAGGAGTGCAGGGCCGCTGGCGCTTGGCCGGGCCTGGCCATGGCAGGGGCCGGGGCAGGGGGTGGGGGGTGGTCCGGGCCACGGGCTCCTTCCTACCTTCAGGCACTTCAGAGAAAAACAAATGACAGCCTCGGTGTGTCCCGGATGTCATCTTCATCCTCAACCGCTGCCGTTGACTCCCCCTTTGCCTGTCCAGAGAGGCCACCGCAACCAGGAGACCCAGGGAGACCCACCGCGGCCGACCTGCCATATCTGTGGATGCGTGTCATTCTCCTTCAGCTGTCTTGGTTCTAACCTCTCATTCCCCAAAAAGAAAGGAAATAAATATCCAAATTCATCTTGCATCAAAATGGAGTTTTTGCTGCAAAGGAAAACAAGTTACTCTAGCTCTAGAGGATCTGGAGGTAAAGCCGCCTTGAGATACGCTGAGAGGTAACGCAGAGCACAGTTCTGCACAGGACTGGCTGCCTGAGGGGCAAAATTGAGAAGGATATTTTTTTTAAGACAGAAACCTTTCTCGGCATTGCAAACTTCAACATTAAGATTTTCAAAGTTTTTTTTTTTTTTCCCTTATTTCAGGAGACATTTTTGCATGAGGTATTTGAAATTCAGGAACATTTTGATTCTTCTTGAAGTGCAGGATATAGATTGGCTCCCTTAAAAAAAAAAAGAGCCTCACCCTCAGAAACTTTGAAAGGAATCTGGCAGACACTTTCCATGGTGGTCAGGAGAGAGATCCACACGTCAAAGGTATCAAAGGTGGTACCTGAATATGCACCAATCAGCAAAATAAAAACGAAAACAAAACAAAAACAAAAAACCACAGAACAAAGCAAACCCCCCACCCACCCCTCACTCAACTCAAAGGGAGTTGCAAGTCCAGTGCAGTAAAGAAAGCTCAGGAAAAGGGTTAAGATCCGAGGAGTCCATCTAGGAAGTAAGAGCAAACCAGGCCTCAGAACCAAACAATCAGGCAGTTCATCCAAGGGGACATCTCCCTTTTAGTGAGAGGAAGCTGTCTCGGCTCAGGCAGAGGACAGAGGCAAGGGGAGGGACTCAATCACCCCTTTCTGGAGGACTGTAGCGCTTTCCACTCCTGGGTGCCTGGTTCCTGGCCTTTGAGGCTCAATCATCAGGGTCTGCTCCCTGCTGGGGACGGTCAGCGTCCCAGGTATGAGAGGCCATCAGATTATTGGCTCTGAGAGTCAGGAACATGCTTTGCAATCTTGCCTCCCTATGTGGGGGGGAGGGGGAGGAAGGCAGAGGGTAGCAGGTTACTGCGGATTTGAAATCCAGGCAACATCCTAGGAGAGAAAGTTCAGCACCAGCTCTTCCTGCCATCTGCTCCCAGCCTCCTCAGCCCTTTTATCGTCCTAAGGAGACAATTCTGCAGTCAGCCGCAGAAGCCATTTCGTCTTCGGAGGTGTGGGAGAAAGCGGTATGGTGGGGGTAGAGGGTGCAAGTGCCAGAACAATCGAAGGGTTCTGTGTGTCCGTCCGGGTGGGCTTGGAAACACTGGCCTCAGATGCCCCGAAGAAGCTGAGAGCACATCAAGTAGCCAGCCCTTCAGGGTAGTGCCCCGACATGTGAGATTCCTCGAACCTTGGACCTAGGAGCCAGGGCCCCAGGGTGTGCCCAACACCCCCACACCTGCAAATCAGGTGGCTGAGGAAGTCCCATTCTTCGGAGGTCTCGGGATCCCCCTCCTCCCTGCCTGCTCTGCTAGGATTGAAGTCCTGGGCCAGGGAGGAGAGGCGTGAGGATGGAGGCATCAGCCACCTGGACAAAACCCGAGGGCACTTTGCAAAGGGAGATGCAAAACAACCAGGAAAACATGCCAGAGGTCACCTCAAGGGCACAAGGCACAAAAAAAGAAAGCGGGAGGAATCGGGCAAACAGTGGAAAGCCCCGATGAAAACCGATTCCCTGATCGGTACCACCCTCAAATAGCTTATATCGTTAAATAGAGAAGTGGGGGAGAGGTGGGGAGGGGATGAAACAATACAGCAGCAACACAAATGTGATCTTGGCTTCAGAGACAGTGTGCAGACACTCCTGAGCTGTCGACCCCGCCTTCCCAAAGACAGTCAGTCCCTTCAACACTCAAGGGTTTTGCTTCACAGCAGAAAGTTCTTCAGTGTCTGAGAAGTTACGCTGTTCTCGGTTTTCTTGGATTTGCACTTGGTAAACTTGGAAAATTAGTAGTTCTGTCTGCACCCGAGAGGAACTGCTCAGGTGAAGTTATTCTAGAATTCAGCCTGCAGATGGACCTCCTGTGAAACATGGAAAGCAGGACTGAATGTAGTGTCTACATCTCTTCTGAGTTCTGTTGAGAGGCCTCCAGTTTCATCTTCTTAGAGGGTGGCACTCCTTCCAAATCCTTGGGGAAGAAGAGAGGATGCAGGTTAGCCTGCCGCCAAGGGAGCGGTGTAGGCCAGCCGTAGGGGAAACTGAGGACTGCTTCTATGGTTCAAAACCGCAGTTCTGACCCTGTGGCCCACGTTTACCAAACTCCATGTCACCAGGCCCCACCTGTCCCTGTCATAGCGGCTTCCCTCGGGGTCTTCTAAGCGCACTGCGCCCTGTGCCTCTAAGCTCCCCACTTCCCCTTCACCACACCAGCCAGAGAGGGAGGGAGAGCTTCCCCATCATCAGCCTCCTGGTCTGTAATTAATCGCTAGGGTAATCATTTGTGCACAACTTCCAAGTTCACCTCTCCAAGCTCAAAGGCCTTGTCTGACTTTGCCATGTGGTTGGTCACAGGGCTCCTCCAGAGCCCAGCTGGGGTGCCTGGTCTGGGCAGATACTCAGCATTTGTTTAACATACATGCATGTTATTCTGGGGAGACGGCCCGTAGTTGTGAACACTTCCTAAGTCCCATGGCCCAAAAACATCCAGCACGCACGCCCCCACCCTGACTTTCCCACTCCGGTATCTCCAATCTGAGCCATCACCCGAGACCAGCTCCTGACTTTACCCACCCTGACCAGCACCCACCCCCCCACCTCCAAGTCTGTCGATGACACCACACCTGCCCAGAGCAAAGGAGGCCTCCTTTGCTCTTCCTAGTCCCACACACCACCTATTAGCAAGGAGCTAGCAAGCAACTCCATCTCCAAACACCCTTGGACCTGCCCACCTCTCCCAGCTGCCACGTCCTTACTGTCGGCACCTGCACCCATCACCTGCCCAGATAAGGCAGCATCCTGCTCCATGCAGTCCCTAGGCAGCTTTCAACATAGTTCAAGAAATCCCCAAATAGAAACATATACAGAACGTAAAACCCACTGATGCTTTCCCACTGACTTCAGAGCAAAATGCCAGCTCCTTACCAGGTTGAGAAGACCCGGCACCCAACTGGTTGTTCTCTTCCTTGCCTGCTAGACCCAGACCCCTGGCCTTCCTTTTTGTTCTCAGGCTTGTTCCTATTTCCAGGCCCAAGCCTCTGGTTCCCTCTGACCAGAAAGCCTGCTCTCGTGGCCCTGTATTCTCATCCTTCAAATTCCTGCTCACAGCCCATTTCTCTGCCTACACCAGCCCAAACAATGTTCCACTGTCAGGCCTCCTTTCATCCTCATCTTGGTTTTTCTGGAGCACGTGCTATGACCTTGTCATCTGCTTGTCCCTGCTATATCCTGGCTGTGTCTCTTCCTCACCCACCACATCATGAGCCCCATGAGGGCAGGGAGGGACCCCATCTCTGGCTCATCCTGGGTCCCTAGTATCTGACACAGGGCCTGGTCCACTATGGGTGCCCAGTGTATGTTTAATATAGAGACCCCAGGGCCTTGATGTGGGCTGTGTATGAGCTTCTTGTGGCAGACCCTGAGGCATCATAGAGAGGCTGAAAGAGCCACCTCTGTGTTCTCCCTTCTTCTCATTCTGAAAGCGATGAAAGCCCAATATGGTCATGACAGGACCAAGCAGGTACTGTGCCTTCTTCAGAGGATGTTGGGTCCCAATGGAGAGGAGGCCTTTGGTTCTGTAGAGCACTTGGATGGGAGGACAGCATGTGAGCTTGGGAGTGGAGCCTACAGAGAGGTGAACTGCTCTGCGTACCAGAAGGTACAGAAGAGGACGGAGAAACAGAAAGGGGAACAAAAGAGAGGAGCTACAAGCTCAGGACAGTTGAATACAGAGAACAGCCAGAGTATTCCTCCTGTTGGGAGGTTGGGGAAGCTTTTTTTTTTTTTTTTTTTTTAAACACAGGAATGGCCAAATGTTAATGTCGAGTTGCTTAACTAAAATGCATCCTCCTCCACTTTGCTCATAGACCTGGGAGCTCTGTGGACGAATATTTGTGTCTGTGTGTGCATGAGAGCAGTGGAAGAGGCTCCATTTCAGGTCTGGGTCCCCTGGAAATGGGACTGGAGGTTGGGGGCATGTTAGAATGTAAGAGCCCTGTACCTTTCAGATATCTGAGGGGTGGGGCAGGGCGGGGGGTAACACTAGATGCCGCCAGGGTATGGATCAAAGTTTCAAGCTAAGTTGAAAAAAAAAAAAAAAAAAACAACTGAGTTTGGAAGGCCAGGAGATCCCAGCAGACATCCTGGTTTTTACAAACTATACACAAGGCTTTGATTTTTTAATCAAGTGGGCTCATGCTATGCCTGAGGTTCTAGGTCTTGCTTTCCTCATTTCACATTGTGAGGATAATTCTTTACTGTCTGTCTGTACCTGGGTCAACCACACCCTTTTTAACAGGTGCATACCCATCTGTTTCATCCACGACCACAGATTATTTAACCAGCCCCCTTTCGACAAACTTAGGTTGTGGCCAATTTCCTGCCACTGCAAACATATCTTCATCAACACTCCTTCTGTGTCTTTGGTCATTTGGAGGAGTGTCCTGCAGGTAAGGGGATAGAGACATTAGAGTCCAGGAGGCACTTTCCCTTGGGGGAGGCCTGGCTTGCGGCTCTGCAAAGCGCAGACCACATCCTGCCACCCTCTGCCCCTTCCAACCTTTCTGCTGCTACTTTTTGTCAGTTTATCCTGAGGTACTAGAAGATCGTTTGATTAGTTGAAGTTTTGACACCTCGGGGTCCTCACTCATTTTAGGTGAGCCCAGAGGGTTGATAGTGAAAAATCACAATGACGGCATCTGGGGCATTCCCGTTCCAGCTCCACACCAAGTGTGTTAGCCGTATTCTCTCATCCCATCTGCGCTCTGGCCCCAAGACAGTTTCTATGACCCCATTTTGGCAGTTGCAGACAAGGAGGCTCGGATTCGAATCCAGGGTGTTTGTTCCTAGCCAGCAGCCACCTATTCCTGCACTGTCTGATTCAGACCAGATGCTGACAAACAGTGATGACCCAGAACGGGGTCGAAGCAAGGGGGCAGTGCAGTCAGTTGCAAAATTCCAAAACATGATTCATTTTGCATTTAGGATTCTGAAGACTTCTTGTCCCAGCAATAAAGGAAGTTGACTTTAAGTCACTAGAGCAGGCAATGCTTTTGTGGACCTGGGTAAACAAAGTGATAAAGCTGAGGCTGGGAAAGAGGATGCCTCCTCTTCCTGTATCCTCCTCCCTGAGGGCTGGGGCCCTGTGTCCTGGCCTTTGCTGTAGCTCTAATGCCCAGGGCGGGACACAGGATACTCACGAATCCTGTTCCATGGATACAGGGAAAAAACAAAAAAAACAAAACACCTTTCAACGTACCCCCGACACCCCAACGGGCTCCTGGCTGATCTGGCTGCCCCTCTGAGGCCTCGATCGAGGTACCTGAGAGATTGCGGACATCTCTGCAGCTAGACCCGCGTCTCCAGATGGCTGCCGTTCTACTTTCTCTGAATTGTTCATCGAGTTTTCCATTGAAGACTGTGAATTCTGCTCGTCAGAAGCATCTAAGGGAAAGCAAGATGACAGAAGCTGTTTTCAGACACGTGAGATGTGAAACCAGATGGACCAATTACTAAAAATACCTGGAACTGGGTAGTTTTTGTGGCCAGGCGGTCTGTCAGGGTTGCAAGGAGCTGGGAGGGTTTGGGAAGCCTCTTAAGTTTTTAGTGAGGTCATGTTAAGTGGCTGGCCCTAGGGCCTCCAGCCCTTTCCTGCACACCCACTACCTGCCGCCTGCCCCAGAGGACATCTTAGGGATGCGGCATGCTTTGTGCCATGTGCATCTGGCGCCCTCCAGTGGGCACAACATGTTCCAAACATCATGGCTGCTGACTCCTCCCTCTTTCACTCCAGAGCCTGCTTGCTGCACCTGGGGAGCCTGCGGAGGTAACTGCCCTTTTGTAGACATTTCTCTTAATAATATGGGTATTTTCCTGACCATCAGAGCAATGACTGATCATTGCATAGAAACAGAAAATACAGGGAAAAAAAGTTAGAATCAGTGATTATCTCACCCCACCCACAACTACCAACCCACTAACATTTCAGAGGATTTATTTTCATCTCTCCAGATGTTCCCCCCCAACATGCATTTAATTCTCTGTTCTCCCCCTGATAGAGATCACACAGAATTTTAGAAAAAATTTTCATGTCTTTAAAAATTCTCTGAATACAAGAGTGAGCAAGATGACTGCATGGCTTCTATCAAGCAATCACTTATTTATGAATCCTGTTTCACCAATTATTTGGGCTATTTCTTATGCATCAGTCTCTCTGCTCCCCTTCCCGCCCTGCTCCTTTAGCTGAAGGAAGTGGCAGGCCATAGTTGGCTGTACGAGGTAGCAGTGTTTGTACCTGAAGCTTATTTTGGGCATCGAGCCACAGAGCTCACGGGGGGAGCAGCAACATCCTGCCCAGAGCCCCACTCTGCTTGCATCCAAGGCCCTAACAACATTTGTCACCCTGATTTCTTCTTTTTTTTAAAGATTTATTTATTTATTTATTTATTTATTTATTTATTTATTTATTTATTTATGATAGACAGAGAGAGAGAGAGAGAGGCAGAGACACAGGAGGAAGAAGCAGTCTCCATGCCAGGAGCCCAACGTGGGACTTGATCCCGGGACTCCAGGATCGCGCCCTGGGCCAAAGGCAGGCGCCAAACCGCTGAGCCACCCAGGGATCCCCGTCACCCTGATTTCTTTCAAAGTGCACTAGAATACTCAATAATGTCTTACTTTGAGGCTTCTGAGGCAGAAAGGAAAAAGAAAATATCCAGGCTTCAGTTTTAAAGTGAGCAAGCAATATGGAGAGATGGACCAAAGTCGGCAGCACTCCACAGCCTGAAGCCAGTGCGGGGCAGAGGGCTGGGGAGCAGGGCAGAAGGCAGGTGTGAGGCTCTCCTCTCCAAGGAGGCTGACCTCCTGGCATGTCCATCTCAGGTAAGCTGCTGTTAACACATGCACTTACTTCCCAAACCAGCAGCCCCAATATCTTGAGGGCAGCACCTAGAGGCCCGCCACTCTGCCAGGGCTTTAGCTGGGTATTCCTGCTATTGCAGAGAGGCTTGGGGGTCTTCCTCAGGGACCCCTAAAAACCATCAAGGCTGATTACAGCCACTGTGTCAAGTGAGTCACTGTGTGGACTTAAGTGGAATGACAGGGGAAGTGCTCAAGTAACAAAATAACCCCAGCGGGGAGGAACTTTACCTAGGGCACAGGACCACACTCCCCAGAACCCTGATACTGTTTGATATTTGTTTTACTTAAAAAAAAATTATTTATTTAAGTAATTTCTATACCCAACATGGCACTCCCGCTCACGACCCTGAGATCAAGAGTCACATACTTTACGGACCGATCCAGTCAGGCATCTCTATTTTGTTTTTGTTTTTGTTTTTTAAGATTATTTATTTATTTATTCATGAGAGACACACAGAGAGAGGCAGAGACATAGGCAAAGGGAGCCTGATGTGGAACTCGATCCCAGGATGCCTGGGATCACAACCTGAGCCAAAGGCAGATGCTCAACCACTGAGCTACCCAGATGCCCCTTGTTTTACTCTGAATGCCCATGTGAATGGCAATTCCTCAGAAAGTTAAACCCAGCTACTCTAGCACTAGGTCGAGACTCAAAAGAACTGAAAATAGGTCCTCAAACTAGTATTTGTACATGAATGTTCATAGTAGTACTACTTCCAACAGCCAAAAAGATGGAAATAGCCCAAATGTAAATTAACAAATGAATCAAAAAACAAAATGTGGCACATCCACACAGTGGAGTATTACTGAGTCACTTAAAGGAAGGAGGGAGTGACACCTGCTATAGTGTGGATGAACCTCAAAAACACGATCCCGGGTGACAGAAGCCAAATACAAAAAGCCCACATATTACACACCCACTTACATGAAACATCCAGAACAGGCAAATGCATACAGAAAGCAGATTGGCAGTAGGTGGGGGTTGGGACCACGGGGAAGGGGAAGCAGCAGTTTATGCATACAGAGTTTCCTTTTGGGGCGATGGAAATGTTTTGGAACTGGACAGAGGTGTATTTCTTTCTTTCTTCTTTTTTTTTTTTTTAATAAAGATTTTATTTATTTGAGAGAGAGAGAGAGAGAGATCTCACACAGAAGTGTGCATGAAAGGGGGGAGGAAGGGCAGAGGGAGGAGAAGCAGACTCTCTACTGAGCAGGGACCCCGGGCTTGATCCTAGGATCCCAGATCGTGACCTGAGTCGAAGGCAGATGCTTAACCAGCTGAACCACCCAGGTACCCCAGAGAGTGAATTTCATCTCAATTCTTAAAAAAAAAAAAAATTTTTTTTAAAAAATTTTTTAATCCATGTTAACATTACATTTTATTTCCTAATATATGTTTTGCTTTAGCAAACACTTGGAACTGTTATTGGCCTCCTCTGGCCTCTCCTTTTCACCTGACACAGTGAGCTCTGCAGACTGGACAGGGAGGTGCAGAAGTCATGGCCAGTCACCCGGAGAGTCATGCTGACCCCCTGCTCGGCCTGAGAGCTCCATGGGAACTGGCTCCTAAAGCTCACGTTGCACTCAAGGGCTTGGTGCAGCGGCCTGATTCTCTAGTGCTGGTGCTGGAACTCACCCAAGGGAAATTATTTTCCTAGGGCCTAAATTTAGTCCAGTGAGTTTGGACATTATGTCATTCCCTGAACTCACTCAGCAGTAAACAAGTTCAAAGCAAGGTCAACAGCTGGCAACTAACCCACCCTGTCCTGCAGGCTGCATGCACCCACCTGGGAGGCTTTCATGCCTTTCCCATGAGGGCTCCCCTCAACTGTGGCACACTCTCCACCCTGCCACCCCAGCAATGCTGGGTAACTGTGGCTGGCCCAGTGGCCTGGGGTCCTCAGAAGAGGACTCTGGTATAGTTCCCGCCTAGACTGGTAAAGCTTTTGGTGGTAGTAGGGACAAGGAGGGGGGGTAGTAGTTACCAAAACATGGCAGTTCTGGAAGGAGCGAACCAAGAAGCAATTTCTGCAGTTGAGCTTTAACTGATTTTAGGGCAAAGGAGATGCAGATCCCAGACATAGGAGAAATGAGGGAGAAAGCACACAGGATGGGAAAGAAGCCAGGATGTGTGCACACTCGGACCTGCAGATATGTATTACCTCCCCTCACTCACCAGGCCTTCCGGACATGTCAGGCTCAGGCTTGGGTGAGCACTTTGGTTTCTTTCCTGCCCCATTCCTTTTGGGGACTTGATGAGGAAGGCAACTTTCATTTGTCTCATTTTATAAATAAGAAAACAGGAAGGCTTGCAGGAGGTGACGCTGTCAGCCCAAGGCCGTGCTGTTAGCAAGTGTCAGCCTAGATGTGACTGGTCCCCGGTCCCAGCCCACTGGTTCCACTGCCCTCTGCCCGCAGAGCCACAGTATCACAGGGCTGTCATGGGGACAAGAGAGGATGCTCATCTGGAAGGCCCATGTCAAACCTCCTGCCACTATGGTGGCTTTCAACTAAGGATGATTTTGCCCCTTGCCCCTGGGGGGGCATCTGGTAGTGTCTGAAAATATTTTTGGTGTCACAACTAGGGGTGGGGCATGCTACTGGCAGCCAGTGGAGAGAAGCCAGGGATGCTTCCCAATATCCCATCACACATGGGATGGCCCCACATGAAAGACCCATATGGCCCCAAATGCCAACAGTACTGAGGTTGAGAAACCCTGCCCACCACTTCTCTGGAGGAAAACGGAGATCTACTCAAATTTCATTTCATTTTATTTTTTAAAGATTTTATTTATTTATTCATGAGAGACACAGAGAGAGGAAGAGATACAGGCAGAGGGAGAAGCAGGCTCCATGCAGAGCCCGATGAGGGACTTGATCCCAGGACCCTCGGATCATGACCCGAGCCAAAGGTAGATGCTTAACCACTGAGCCACCTAGGTGCCCCTCTACCCAAATTTTAAATGCCTGCACGTCCAAGGTGATTGTTAAGGGTAGTCTTAAAAAAGGTTATAATCACATCTAGATTCTTCTAGATGCACTATCTCTCTAATGAGTCGTGGGGGAGCACATTAGACTCAACAGTGGTCCTCCTGGGCAGGGGGAGGACATTGGAGGCTCTGGGTGAGGGGGCTGTCCAGTCTGTGTCCTGAATTATTCCCTGTGTGTAGGGTCACCTGCATCCCTCCTACCTCCCACCCACAGGTCTACCTGGCACATGAGCGCCTTCCTCATCCGGCTCAGAAAGGGAAGGCACACCAGGTCCTGAGACCCTCATGCCTGGCTGGCTCCCCACTCCCCCTGCATGTCCCCAGGCACTGTCCCTTGGTCTCTTCTACTTGCACTGCTCATTCCCCTTCTATCCCATTGCTCATGCTTGGGTATGCCCAAGTCAGGCAGCACCTCCTCCAGAAAGCTTTTTCTGAGCCCACTAGGCTCCCTTTTCTTAGTAACATAGCATTGATCACAAACTCAAAAGCCCCCTTAAGGGCCAGGCAGTGCCACGAATGAGTCATGGGGATGGTTCATCTCAGACACAGATAAGAAAAAAACAAAACAAAACAAAAAAAAACACACACAAAGAAAACCCTAAAGGAATATTCCCCTGTTCCTTTTTTTTTTAATTTTATTTATTTATTCACGACAGACAGAGAGAGAGAGAGAGAGAGAGGCAGAGACACAGGCAGAGGGAGAAGCAAGCTCCATGCAGGGAGCCTGACGTGAGACCTGATCCTGGGTCTCCAGGATCACACCCTGGGCCGAAGGCAGGTGCTAAACCACTGAGCCACCCAGGCTGCCCCTATTCTCCTGTTCCTTAAAGAAATAGATATTCCCCAACCTCTCAGACTTTTACTTGTCTACTTTTGATGAGAAATAAGTTAAAAAAAAAAACTTAATTTTTCCTTTAAATGTACAGTAAGAAAAGCAACAGTGATCATGGAGTAATACGAGGGCACGACTCTTGGGACTCAGTGTCATATCAGGGAGCGGCGGGGAGTGTGGTAGCTGGCCAAAGTGGGCCCACTCACCCTCCCTGGAAGGGCAACCACATGTCTGCTCTAACGGGTGCTGCTCCATGGAAAAGCAGACTTAGTATTGTCAGATCTTCTGATTTCCTCAAGAGAAGGTGGAAATCAATCTTATTTTAAGTGAAATTATTTCATTTTAAAATTTTGACATCTAATTCAAATTAAAAATAAAAATAGCAGCAGCCCCATGCCATGCGCTAGATCTAGTCTGTCTGCGACCTCTGGGGAGTCTCATTCTCAATTTTGGTGTCCATATCCCCCTGCTTCCCTCTGAGTTCTTGGGGCAGGAGCCGGACCAGCACCAAGTCTCACACAAAGCAGGTGTGGGAAAATGTGTCAAAGACAATGGAATGGGGTTTGAATCGATGCCATGACACAGAGAAGCCTCCCTCCCTCCACTGCCTTCCCTGTTGGGTAAACAGCACAGCAGCCAGATTTCATGCTCAGCTTGGGTGTCTGCAGGTGCTCTACCCCCAGCTTGCCCTCCTCATCCTCCCTTCACAGATTCTGGCGAGGCCATCCCTCCAGATGCTAGGGGTCACCCTCCAGTCCCCACTCAGCCCAGGTACCACTTTGTCAACACATACTCCATCTTGGACCTTCAGAATATACCTCGATATTGGACAATCAAGAACTATGGACTGGTCTTCTTAGGTGTAATGATAGTACTTGTGATCATGTAAAAAAATATTTTTAAATATATATATAATAAATATATATTTTTTTAATATTTATATATAAATATATATTAAAATCTTTTTAAATATATATATTTTAGCATATATATATATATATATATGCTTACTTATTTATGAATGAATGAATTACACAGAGAGAGGCAAGACATAGGCAGAGAGAGAAGCAGACTCCCTGCAGGGAGCCCAAGGTAGGACTCGATCCCAGGACTCCAGGATCACACCCTGGGTCGAAGGCAGACGTTCAACCGCTGGCGTCCCAGAAAATTCTTATTTTTAAGAGATGTGTACTGAAGTGTTCAGGGAAGAAATGCTGTAAGATCTGTAAGTTACCTTCAAATGCCTCCCTCCCCAAATATTTACAGACAAAGCAAAACAAATTAATAATTGCCAAATTCAGTGGGCATATATAGGACAGTACTCTGTTCTTTTCATTTTTCTGTATGTTTGAAAATTTTCATTAAGAATCCAGAGATCCGGGCAGCCCAGGTGGCTCAGCGGTTTAGCGCCGCCTTCAGCCCGGGGTAATCCTGGAGACCCAGGATCAAGTCCCACGTCAGGCTCCCTGCATGGAGCCCGCTTCTCCCTCTGCCTGTGTCTGTGCCTCTCTCTATCTCTGTGTCTCTCATGAATAAATAAAATCTTAAAAAATAAAAAATAATAATAATAAAGAATCCAGAGATCTGGGCGGCCTGGGTGGCTCAATGATTTAGTGCTGCCTTCAGCCCAGGGCGTGATCCTAGAGACCCAGGATCGAGTCCCACGTCAGGCTCCCTGCATGGAGCCTGCTTCTCCCTCTGCCTGTGTCTCTGCCTCTCTGTCTCTGTCTCTCTCTCATGAATAAATAAATAAAATCTTTTTTTTTTTTTTTATAAATTAATTTTTATTGGTGTTCAATTTACCAACATACAGAATAACACCCAGTGCTCATCCCGTCAAGTGTCCCCCTCCGTGCCCGTCACCCATTCACCCCCACCCCCCGCCCAAATAAATAAAATCTTAAAAAAAAAAAAAAAAAGAATCCAGAGATCTCGGGAATCTGGGTGGCTCAGTGGCTGAGTGTCTGCCTTTGGCTCAGGTCATGATCCCAGGGTCTCTCTATGTCTCTCATGAATGAATAAATAAAATATTTTCAAAAAAGAATCCAGGGATCCCTGGGTGGCTCAGAGGTTTAGCGCCTGCCTTTGGCCCAGGGCGTGATCCTGGAATCCTGGGATCAAGTCCCACATCAGGATCCCTGCATGGAGCCTGCTTCTCCCTCTGCGTCTCTCACGAATAAGTAAATAAAGTTAAAAAAAAAAAAAAAAAAGAATCCAGAGATCTCAAAATAGACAAAAATAAACATACACATATACAAGTATATATATGTCCTCCACAACCAGACTACTTTTTACCACCTCCATTGCTCCCACCCTGCTCACACCAGCAGTCACCTTCCATTTGGATGACTGCTATAGCCCTACTATCTGTTCCCAATCACAGCAACCAAACTGATTCTCTAGACCATGGCACTCAATCCTGTCTTACTCGGCACAGAAGCAAGGGCCTGTTTAGTGGCCTAAGATACCCAACACTCAAGGTCCTTCGATTTCATCTCTGATTTCATCTCACTTTGTGAACCCTTCATCCTCCCTTCCCCAGCCACTGAGCATACCCTTGCCTGAGGGCCTTCGCACCGCCCATTCCATCTGCCATAGTGCTTTCTCCCACTTTTCCACAAGGTTTGCTCCCTTACCTAATTTAGCCTAATATGCTCTAATGTCACCTTCTTAATGAGGCCTTTCCTGGCCACCCTATTTAAAAATGAAACAGTCCCCATAATTCACCAAGACTCTCTATTTCTCTTATGGTTTGCCACAGAACTTATCTTCCAAAAACTAGACTGTAGGATTTTTAAATTCCCCCACAAGAATATGAGCTAGTCAAGGCATTACCTTTCTTCTACCATGATCTTCTAGGGGCTGGCATGTAACAGGACCTCCTAGAGACCTATCAACTGACTACATGAAGGCTCAGTCCCTGCAGACACATACCTTCGGCCCCAGGGAGCTCCTTCCCATCGGCCTGGGCCTCATCAGCCTTGGCGTCAGTACCTTCGCCAGGCACAGCTGAGCTGGGCTCCGGAGCAGGGCTGGAGTTACTGCTATTCTCCTGTTTGATCGGGGAGGCATCTGCGATGGAGCTCTGGTTGCTGTTATCATCTGCAAGGGGAACAGAATCATAGGGTGAAATGCCACAGCTACCGAAGAAAGGTGACTTGGGGCTCAGCTTTCTGACAGAACCACAGGGTGAAATGCCACAGCTACTGAGGAAAGGTGTGTTAGGGGCTCAGCCTCCTTCCTCCCAGGGAAGGAGACACTTCGGAAATATGCCAGCCACCTGGGGCCATTCTGCATGTTCTGCAAGGAAGAGGCTTCTGGGAGCTTCCCCTGCTGGCTCAGTCCTTGGGGGAGGAGAGGTGCAGCTGTCTACAGACAGGGCTTCCCACATTTTAAGTCTTTAGAGGACATTTGAGGCCTCGTTCTGGGTGAAGAAGCCAGATTTGTGCACCTGGCTCTGTAGCAACACAAAGGCTGAAGCATGGTCCATTCAGCAGTGTTGCCAAAAATGTTCCATTGATCTAACCAAGTGTCTAGACCAACTTCCACCTGATACAAAATAAAAGAGTGAGAGGGACATGTTAACAGAAGGGAGGGTATTCCACAGAATAATCCACCCAGCTCTTCAGGTCAAAAAAAGAAAAAAGAGAGACAGAGATGGAGACAGGGAGAGAGGGAGAGAGAGAGAGAAAGAGAGAAGCAGGGAAGATTATTACAAAGAAATTCAAGAGAATTAACAGCTAAACAGGACATGTGAAAACTACCTAGATTCTGTTTGGAATGTGCCAGCTTGTAAGGGACATTTTGGAACAACTGGGGAATTTGAATATAGTCTGGGATTTAGAAGACATGATGAAGTAACTATGACTTTTGTTAGGAGTGAAAGCATCGCAGGTGTATAGAAATGTCATTTATTCGTGACGCATGCTGAAGGTTTAGCCACAGACTTAAAACATAAAGCAGGGAAACTTATTTTAAAACACTTCAGCATGGGCTGCCTACGATTGTCAGAGTTCCCTGAACTTAACACTTGAGAGCTATGCATGTTTTATATGTAAATTGCACTTCAATTAAAAAACTTAATATATTAAAAAAAAAGATGAGGCAAACATGGCATGCTAGTGAAAACCTAGGTGACAGATATATGAAGTTCATCACACTATTCTTCCTACTGTTCTCAATTATGAAATTTTTCATAATACAGAGAAAAAAAGAGAAGCTATCTGAACAAAGCATTTGTGGTTGAGCTGGTGGCAGGGCTGAGAGTCCAGGGGCACATATCCCCTGGCCCTGAACTCTATCTTAGCCTGAGAGAGTCATGTTAAGTTGCAGATACCCAAGTGGCAATTTCAAAAATATTACCACACTGCTTTTCTGGGCCATGCTGGGCACCTGGGACCGAGGCTACTTTTGTAAAACAGAGAACGAGAGGGAGACACAGAACAGCACACTCACACATTCTAGGCACCTACTACATGCTGGCACTGAGCAAAAACATTGACGGTCACTTTGTTTCATCTTCCCAACAACCTGCCAGGTAGGGGCCGGTACCTCCCTCCTGTACAGAGGGAGAGACTGAGGCTCTAAGCAGCAGAACCCCTTGCTCAGGTTGGTCTGCCCAACTCCAAACAACCTGCTGAGGAAACGCCAGGCAGTCACACAGTCCCAGCCAGGTAAACTGCATCTTATTCTAAGTGTACTAGTTACACAAAAGCATCCTCTTGTTAATTCTGGGACTTAAAAAAAAAACAAAAAACTGTGCTCTCCTGATTTTCCCTTTTAAGAAAATCTGAACTTCCTTCCTATACCAACCTAGGTGTGCATGTGTGTGAAAGGCAGAGACCCAACCCGTGGATCCCAGCATGAAGTTATGTTAATTAAGGACAACAAGCACTAATGTTTAACAAGTTAACTGCTGGAGATTAACCTGGTCACCTGGTAACCACATGACCCTGACACTCAAGTTAACACTGGCAGATTCTCAGACACGAAAGAAGTGGCTGCAGATGCCCACTACCCCAGTGGGAGCCTTTCAGATCATCCTGCCCAGGCCTATATCTTTCCTTGCCTTTGGACACATCCATGTCTGGTGGCTACACACAGGTCTTGGGTGCACATGTACTAAAATGGAAAGGATACAGAGAAGGTGAGTGAGGCTCCTATATCAGGAATGCCTGGGCTGGTGGCCATACACTTGGATTCTGCCTCCAAAGAACCTCAAGGCCACCACTGGCATTCATGAGCTTCCTAACCTGGGGCAGCCACTGCCTTGAACCTTCATTTCCTTATCTGCACGAGACTTGTTTTTACGATGAAATGAGGTAAGACATGAAATGGGCTTAGCGAGATGCTTGGCACATTGTGACAGCTCCTTAAATGTCATCTATTAACATGCCAAAGGGCTTTTAGGGAATTATCTTATTTAATACTCAAAAGGACTTTATAAAGTGGGCATTACCATTCCCATTGGACAGATTGAAAACAGACCTAAAGGTTACATGTTAAATAACAAACCCGGGGGAGATCCTGGGGAGTCAGATGTGAACGCAGGTGGGATCTTGTCCTCTGCTCTATAAGGCTCTCACCTGTGAGCTGGGGGGGTGGGGGGGATGTCTTCTCAATCCCTAGAGAGTGGGGATCTAAGTGATGCCAGGGGGCAGATTTGTCCCAGCTCAAATACCTAGTTCAATTGCGCCCAATAATTCAATTGCGATTTCACAGCCAGTGAGGGGCTTTCTTGACACATCAGCCATCAGCAAAACCCCTCTGTACTTTCTTGAAGCCTGCCCTCGGAGCTCGTGATTGTGTTTTCTAGAATGGTCAGCTTAGGCAAATGGCACTCCTTCCCCAGAGCAAGACAGCCCGGAACCAGAGGGGGCAGAAACTCGATCAAACCAATATTCCCCTTTGGTGTACTTATTTATCTAATACCAGCTTGGTGTATGAAAGGCCTGGGTGGTCAAAAGGACAATAGAAACTGGGATCAAAAGATGGGAAAAGGCAAGTGGTACAAGTTGTTCTACTGGCAGACCAGGCAGGTGGTCCTGGAGTGGCCACAGCCTCCGGTAGAAACAGCTGCTGCCGCCTTGAGGGAACATACTCCCAGAGTTTCTGGGTCTGATTTTTCAAAGGATGGCAGAAATGCACATTTCCTAATTTATGAATATCAGAAACCCCATTTTTCAGAAATTTTATGTTTGAATCTCTCAGGTTAGAAGTCAGGCAGGATTGCCAGGAACGTTCCGTCTCAGTCTGGGCTGGTTACACGGATGAATGTAATCTGGATACATATCATGAAGCCATCACTTATGATTTGTGCCTTTCCTCTCAGTTAACAAGGCAAAACAGGAACTCAACCCCAGCAATGTCAAAACTGCAGACTGGCTAAAGCAGGTCTCCAGCCTTGATTCAATCAGTGAGACATAACTTTTGAAAATAAGTCAGCGAAGAAAGGCAGGATGTCAATGTGGAAGGCAGGTCCCCAGGGTCCCAAAGTGATTAACAGGATGTTAAAATCCAGTTTAGAGTTTCCCAGCAGCCAAAGCAAAATCAGAAATGGAAAATATCATCATTTTTATGGTAGGTCAGGCCTAGGAGGGAAAATGAGCATATACCCAAAAAAGAGTTCCTCAGCACACACGGGGCTTACAGGTCGTCTCCTGTGAGGTTTGTGTCACTAGGCAAGAAGGTCTTATTTTACGTCTCTGGCTTGTTTTACGTTTCATGGCTTGCTGTGCTGGGAACAGAAGTTTCTCCTCCGCTGAGCCTTCTCTTGGGTACAGAGGCCTCCCGGTGCTGCCCAGCCCTCCTACCCTCGCCTGGAATGTGAACAAACCTGCTGGTAAGAACAAAACCCTAGGGCCCTGCCACAGCCCAGGGCCTGGCAGGAGAGCTCACCATGCATGTCCATCATCCCTGGGGAGGAGCTGTTCTCCGGCGTGGTCACCTCAGAGCCACACTTCTCATCTTTGCCTTTTTTCTTGTTCTTGTTCTTCTGGAGGAGAAAATGGAGCAGAAACTGAGTCACCATATTGTGTGTGCATGCGTAAGCAAGCCCCTGGGGGGGTGATATGAATATTTTATTCAGCTGGTTCATCTTGGAGCCCGCAAGTCTCTGGAGGGCTCTCCCTGGCCTGCATTTGAACATGTCTTATTACGGGCCTCACCTGCAGAAGGAAGGATTCTGGGGCTGGGCTGGGGGCAGGGTGGTGGAGGCTGGGCATAAACCTGCCTTGTGTGTGAGGTCAGCATTAGCAGGCATGCAAACAGCCAGGTTCACAAGAATTTCCTCCACCTTCAGAGAGAGTATCTAGGGAAAAGGCCAGAGTCACCTTGCCCAGAGCAGGTAGAGTGATGCCAGGTGAGGGATGGAGAAGACCCAGGTCACATACTCCCACTATCTGTAGGCCCCAGCATCACATGCTGACTCCCAGCATCACAATGGAAGGCCAGGTGAGGAGGAAAATCCAAGGTGAAGGGATGGTGAAGAGGATGCTCTGTGTGTGCAGTCCCATTTTTTTTCCCTTTTTTAAATAAATGGAATAGAATTTTATTAGAAATGACCTGTGTCGGGCAGCCCCAGTGGCCCAGTGGTTTAGCACCGCCTGCAGCCTAAGGCATGATCCTGGAGACCCAGGATGGAGTCCCACATCGGGCTCCCTGCATGGAGCCTGCTTCTCCCTCTGCCTGTGTCTCTGCCTCTCTCTCTCTCTGTGCCTCTCATGAATAAATAAATAAAATCTTAAAAAAAAAAAAAAAGAAATGACCTGTGTCCATGGGTAAAGCTCATTAAATTACGGCACATTCTTTCAATGTAATGTAATGCAATAATTACCAAGAATAAGACAGCTCTTCATGTCCTAATGTGGAATGATCTACAAAAATATCAGCATATTAGAATATCTCCAAGATGTATAAAAGGATGCTGTAGAACACGGGAAGGGAAGACCACTATTAATGGGGAAAAAAGGACACATGGACCTCTCTCCACACGTGTGTCTGTGTGCACTTTCTCTGGAAGGATAAACAAACACCGGTCACCTCCAGGGAAATGAGCTGGGTGGCATGGGGGCCATGCACAGGGATGGGAAACAAATTTACAAAAAGATAAATAAATATATATATATATATATATATATATATATATATATATATATATATTTGAAAAAGTAGCATTTGAAGAATCTGCACACCTACAGAGATGGAAACTAGATTGGTGAATTCTGGGACCATGGGGCAGGTGGGGGAGTAATTGCTCACAGGTCTGAGTTTTGTTTTAAGGGTAACTAAAATGTTCTGGAATTGTAACAGTGATGGCTACACACAGTAAATATATTCACACTAACTTATATACCTTCTTAGGAGAGTGAATTTTATGGCATCTGAATTGTCATTTAAACAAACTTTTTTTTTTAAGATTTTTATTTATTTAATCATGAGAGACACAGAGAGAGAGAGAGAGGCAGAGGGAGAAGCAGGCTCTATGCAGGGAGCCTGACTTAGGACTCGATCCTGGACCTCCAGGATCACGCCCTGGGCTGAAGGTGGCGCTAAACCGCTGAGCCACCTGGGCTGCCCTAAACAAATGTTTTCTGTTTTTTTTTTTTTTTAAGATTTTATTTATTTATTCATGAGAGACACACAGAAAGAGAGAGAGGCAGAGACACAGGCAAAGGGAGAAGCAGGCTCCATGCAGGGAGCCCGATGTGGGACTCAATCCTGGGACTCCAGGATCAGGCCCTGGGCCTAAGGCGGCGCTAAACTGCTGAGCCACCCAGGGATCCCTTAAAGTAATGTTTGAATTTTGTAAATTGGTTTCCCTATTCAAAAGAAGAAAAAAAAACTGGGGCATCTGGGTGGCTCAGTTGGTTAAGCGTCTGTCTTCGGTTTGGGTTATGATCCCAGGGTCCTGGGATCGAGCCCCAAGTCCAGGGGGCTCCCTGCTCCCTCCCTGTGCTTAGCAGAGAGCCTGCTTCTCTTTCTCCCTCTGCTGCCCTCCTTGTTCATGCTCTCTCTATAAAATCATGCTCTCTCTATAAAATCTTAAAAAAAAAAGAAAAAAGAAAAGAAAAATTTGCAAGAGTTCTGAAGGGGGAGAAAATGGTGCAACCATGTTGTAATTGGGTATTTAAAAAATAAAAAGCTACCCCTCTACAACCACCAGAGACTCCGATTTAGCTGTCTGTGGTGGGACCCAGGCACCTGCATTTCTTTAAGATTCCCAGGGACTAGATCTCAGCCAGGAGTGGGACCTATCACCCTAGATGGAAAGAGGGTGGGGAAACAGTATATTGTACATCGTAGCTCAAAGACAACGGCAAATTAGCATTTTTCTAGTACTGTCTGCAAAGCCTTGCTGGGTTAAGTTCTCTGTTTGGTATTTGATATACTGCCTTTACACTGTTGCAGAAACCCCAGGAGCCGGATATTGCTGCTCCACTGCACAAAGAGGGAACTAGGGCCCAGCAAGGTGGAGGTCACCTGTCTGCCTCACAGGTCAATGGGGAGGGGGAACCTATCCCATACCTCTTTGCCCAGCCAGGACCTGCCCTGTCCTTTCCAACAGCCCATACATCACTTTCTCCTTGATCACAATCCATTTTGGCACTTCCCTGATGTCTGTTTCATGCTATTCTATAATTATCTTTCCCAACAAGATTATAAATTCCTTGAGAGCAAGGACCATGTCTTCTCAAATGCAACCAGCGTTTATACAACACCTAATAATGTGCAAGGCACAGACGTGGGCCAGAGCCAGGAGCTGCCTTCGAGGAGCTGGCTGCACCCTGCTCTCACCTCCAGAACAGCCAGTACCAATTGCTGTGATGGGCTAGGTCTTGGGCCCTCGGAGGAAGGCAACCCTGGTGGCTCCATGAGCCCAGGCCAGAACCAGAAAAGGTGACAAACACTGACGTTCTCCAGGGAGCACCAACCTGCCCAGAGAGGAGCTTGTGATCATAGGGTCGAGGATGGAGCCTCAGCCATGCCAGGAGACCTGAGACAGGTAACTGAAGATGGTGGACAGAGGCTTAGCCTCACCTTTATGGCCCCCTAGAAACCCACCAATCATGACCACAACATACACACACACACACACACACACACACACCCTATCCAAGCAAATAGAGTCATCCATCCAGGTGGCTCAGCGTGAGCCATCTCCCTGAACAAGAGGACAGCTCGCCATGAATAGGGAAGGCGCTCCGGACAGTCCATGCCGAGGTCTGTAAGTGGGACCATTCTGGATGTTGACTGGAAATGACCTGAGGTCTTTGGGGGTAACTGGTCCAGGAGCCATGAGGCTGAAGAAATACCTCTGTGTAGGGCAGCAGCTGCCAGTCCCCAGTACGTCCCAGACACTAGGCACAGTTGCTGAAGCTCCCTCTAGTGGTTGTAGTCAGCATCTTGCCCACATGCCCACCCTGCCCTGCCCCACTTCCCTCCCCCACCCCCAGGGGCCCCAACAGTGGCTGTTCCCATGCCCTGAACCCTCTTGCTCTGGGGTTACCAGCAGCTCCAACCACCAGAAGGCTCTCTAACAGCAAAGAGAGCATATGTTTTGGAGTCAAACAGACCTAACTCTTGCTGTGTGATTCTGGGGAGGTGACTTCACCTCTCTGAGCCTGCATCCTCACTTGCACAAAGGGGATAAAGAGATCAACACAACAGACCTGGTATGAGAAATGCATGAGGCAATGCCTGGCAGACAGGTGCTCAGGAACAGTGGCGCTACAATGATGGGAGAGGGCCTGCTTGTCTGTGGGTATGCCACACCCAAACTATGGTGCCCAGGACCCCAGGGAGGGGACAGCTCTGCACTAAGGCATGTCCCCACTGGCATACTGTAGGGCTCTCAGCCCAGAAGAGTCAACTTGCAGGGGACACTCCCTGCCTCTCTGATGGCCAGACTCTGGGGCGGGACTATGAGTGGGGATGAGGACCCAGGTGCAGCAGCTTCTCCAGCTATAAGCTGGGTCCTTACGCTCCCCAGGTGGCTTTGACCCCAGTGTGGCACACTGGTGAGCTATGGTCAACAGCACCTTCTACCCATGGTAGAGGAAGTGTGGATGGTAGGGTCCACCCCAGGGGTTCAGCCCCACATACTCACATCATCCACCTTTGGCTCTGTCACAGGGACCCACTTGTAGATTCGCAGGGATGTGTCACCCACAGTCACCCACTTCTTTTCCCTGCAGAAGATGAGGAAGAGCCCATTACCAGGGGTTTTCTGGGGCAGAACCCTGCTCACCCCTCATGGGGGACACAGGCCATACTGCCTTGGAGGAGCTACAACACGGAGGCTGCTCAGCTTGGGGTAAAGGGAATGATCCAGATTACTCCAGATCTAGTAGCTGAGCTGTTGGGCAAGTCCCTTTGCCAATCTATGCCTCAGTTTCCCCATCTATTAGAACACATGGGGTCATCAATCTCACTGGGCCGCCATGAGGATTACATGAGAGAGCACGTGTTAAAAGCATCCCCATGCCTTAAAGGATGTGCCTAGCGAGACTGGGAGGACAGAGGGGCTGCCGATAAGGACAATTCTGGATGAAAGGAACAGGGCCCCAGGGTCCTCCAGCGTTTGCTCCACACCGCTGCCAGTTGCATAGAGCCAGTGAACAGGGCCACCCCAACCTCTTGGGCAGCAGAGAGGGCTTCAGGCCAGCAAGGCATTTCCTCCAGGGGGTAGGGGGGTCTCATCAAGGGCACCCAGGGGCTCACCCTGTCCTCCCTGCAATGCCCCTGAGGTCAGAAGAAGGGAGGCAGGAGAAGACAGAGCAAGTAACCACCCAGTGCTGGTCAGGGCAAGTGCCATTTGAAACAGCCAAGGAGGGGCAGGGGAGCAAGGGCAAACTTGGATGGCCAGTGGCCATGGCCCCAAGGGTGGCAGCACAGCCCGGATTGTGGACAGCAGCCAGCCTGAAGGATGCTCTGAGACCCCACATCCTGAGTCCAAAATGAGCATGGGCTTCTGGGTCTTCGCTCCTAATACCCACATCTGCACACTGCCCCCACCCCACTCCCACCACATCCCGAACTCCTGAGGGACTGTATCCAGGACCCCACAGCTACCAGAGGCAGGTTTACAGGTAAGGAGAAAATCACAAGCCATGAGAAGGAAACTGGGTGACTGGTTTTCATTAAGGATGATAATTAACACCCTTCCCCTCCACACCACTCTGCTCCAAGCCACAAACACTCCCTAGATTCCTACCACAGCCTCCAAACTTTGGTCCCTGACCCCTGCAGTCTACAAGTCAGGTCATGTCCCTGCCCCTAACACTGGGAATAAGAGCCAGAGGCCATGCACCTGACAATATCGAGGCTCAGAGGAATCACGCAGAAAGCAAGCTGGAACTCCATCCAAGCAGTTTGGGCTCCAGGGTCCCTGTTCCTGGCACCAGGCTCTGCCATCTTAGGAGAAGTGGGAAGTCACAAAGGATCTCTCTCAGCTGTCTGATGAGGACGTTAGCTGATTCAAGGAACCGACAGTGGAATGTAGGGCCAGATGCACAGGTGGCATAGCTTCCAGAAGCCCCCAACAATCTTAGTGACAAGGGTTCCACTAGAACTGAGATTTATGTGTGGCATGAGCATCTCTGTGAGCTCCCAGGTACCTGAGCAGCCTTCCCTCCATGGGTGGGTGGCCTTCATGTGCTGGTGGGACACGTTACACCTGGCACTCCTTCACCATGGGGGGCTCAGGGCACCCAAACACACTCAAAGCCAGGCAACCCAAACCACAGAAACCTCCATTCCCCAAATCATGCCTCTTCATGCCCTACATGTTCCCTGCTGGAAGAAGCCACGGTTTGGTTTTTATTTATTTTAGGACCATGTCTAGTGCCTTCTATGTGCTAAGTTCCCATACACACTTGCTCTAATATTCCCATAACCTTGTATGGCAGGAACAGTCACTTTCCCCATTTGACAGATAAAGAAACCAAGGCACAAGAAGATCAAGGTGTTCTTCCCAGGGCCAATATTCAAAGCTTCCACATGGCATTGCTTTTAGGAGCAGCTCCTCCCACCCCCATCCTTGCCCTCTTCTAGTCCAGAAAGAATTAAATGAAGGCACATATCTAAGTCACCACCCATCCATTTCCTATGTCCTGGAGGCAAGATGGACAACCATAATCCCTGTCCTTCCCCACCTTCATTCTGAATAATCAGAAGATACCTGGAAGGGACAGGGGCATTCCAAGAACGACCCTGGTGACAAACAATAATAATAGCCATCATGTGCCAAAGGTGTATGTCTGCCGAGTACTTTATTTACAATAAAGCCCTCTCCCCCAAAAACTGCTCAATAAGCCTATGAGAGGAGAACCATGGTCACTCCATTTTACAGATGGGAAACAAGAGGTCCAGAGAGGTTACAGAACTAGTTCATGGTCACACAGCTAGACCAAGGCAGAACCAGGACTGCGCACAGGCTCTGACCAAGAGCCCACTCTCTGCTATTCTATCTCCTGTGAAAAACTAAGAAATCATTCCACAGAGCACATCTCCGTTACAGAAGCTGGACAAAGAAACACAAATCACTAGCATCCCACGCAAATGGCCAAAGGCACTCACTACTCACAATCCCTCAACTGACTTCATGGGCCAGGGCCCAGTAGGTCGGCAAATCCAAGGTTTGATTGTGCTAAAAACAAAAACAAAAGTAATTGACTTGCAAAACATAGGACGCAGCATCTCAAGGCAGAAAGTGTGCCAGATCTGGGCTTTGTAGCCTACATGCGAGCCGAGATGAATCCTCAAGCTGCACATGCTTCCCTGAGTGGTTGAGGGCCCTGCAACCTAAGGGCGGACACGGCCAGGTTCTCATGCCTCCCTTTGTTGCAGTTGGTGACCCCATGGCCTGAGTCCCTCAACTCAGCCCAAAGATTAGAAACCTTTCTTCAGTTGCCTTTCTACCGGATACTGAGGGGCTACAGGACGTAAGGAAAAGCATTAAGAACCCAACCTCAGGAATGGACCTGCGGTCTGGCCTTTGCCCACCAGCCCAGCAGGGAGACAAGGTCCTGGGCCTCAGGCAGTAAGTTAGAGCAAGCACCAGGCAGGACAGAATGGATTTCACAGACATGACCAGTGAGTGGGCTCTGAGTGTCTCCTCCTGCTGGCAGCACCTTGCGCTCAGAGAAACAGTGGAGTTCCTACTAGATCCCCGAACCCATCATCCCAGAGCACACAGCCCCTGCCGTCAATGAGGGAATTAAGCTGCACTCACTACTTCATATCTGGGGTGGCAAACAAGTGCCCAACAGGTATGTTTTGTCTGGTCTGCACACTCGTTTTTTAAATTTTAACTAATTGACAAGCTTTAAGAAGAAAAAAATCAGGGGCGCCTGAGTGGCTCAGTGGGTTAAGCGTCTGCCTTGGGCTCAGGTCATGATGATCTTAGAGTTCTGAGATCAAGCCCTGTGTCAGGCTCCCTGCCTGCAGGGAACCTGCTTCTCCCTCTCCTCCCTGCTTGTGGTCTCTCTTTCAAATAAAAAACAACAACAACAACAACAACAAATAAATAAATAAAATGTGAAGAAGAAAGAAGAAGAAGAAGAAGAAGAAGAAAGACTACATAGAAATCTAGATTGCTGACTACTCTGATAAACACAGTGCCTTGGCCACAAGGGGCCCACGTGCCTGAGGAACAAGGACTCTCAAGGAGCTCCCAGCACTCACTCCCCTGGAGGGACTGGACCCAGATTCAGCAGGCTGCACCCCCACCTTGCCACAAAGCTGCCTGTGGGCACACCCTGAGTGCTTCTGCCCTGCTGCTCCCCCCCCTCCCACCGTAACCATTGAGGCTTAAGTACGTACCTTTCCCCCTCCAGACTTGGGATCCTGGACAAAAGGGGGTCCCAGCTATAGCAATAAAGCCCCAAACACCCAAACAATAAAGCCCCCTGCCCCCAGCACAGGCTCCCATATAAACCACAAGCACCTGTCACAGATTGTCTAGACCAAGGTCAATTTCTAATGTTTTTCCCGGTCCAGGTCCAAAGGCTAGCCAAGGAGACCATCTTGGGGTCACTGCCCAAGGGGACCCCACTGGCTCCCTCAAAGAGACTGCAAATCTCTCACTTTGTATTCACCTCCCAGGGCTAGTCCTTGACACCTTAGGAGGTCTTGTCTATGACTGGTGTTGTCCTAACTAGGCCCAGGCTCATCTGCCCTGCCCTGCACTTGGCAGGACGGTATCCCCAAATGTAAAGTGGTGAGGGCCTAAACACGGTCAAGTTTCTTCCTCCCTCAGGGATGAGTGGGAAGTCTCCAGGGAACAGGACTCTCTCCTTCAGTAAGTCACTGAGGGACCCTTCAGACCAAGGGCCCAGGGGTCCCAGGGCCTACTTTGTGGCTCAAGTCTTTGTCTCCCACCCAATGCCCCTCCTCCCCTGCTCTTCTCCACCCACACTGGGCCCCTAACCCTGGCCCAGTTTCCCAAAAAGGGGGCCCACCATTTTGTTCTTCTTCCAGCCATCTTGTGGCTGCCTCGCAGCCTACCAGCCTGCCTTTCTGGGATACCAGACAAGGGAGGAAAAACAGCTGGTGGCTAGGGATGGTGTGGTCACGGCTGGCTGCTGGCTTTTTCAAGGTTGGCAGAGGGGGGATTTTTAGGGGTCACCAGGGCTGAGAAGAAATACTACCCTAGACTTACGGAATAAATGGTATTCCAGATACCTCTGTTCTCTGGATAAAATATAGGATGCTGAATTCAATTTGAATTTCAGATATGTAACATTTAGTATAAGTATGCCCCCAATACTGCATGGGACATACTTACACTAAAATTTATACACATATATCACTTATTTTTAAAAAGTTATTTCATTGTTTATCCAAAATTCAAATTTAACTAGGTGTCCTCTAATTTTATTTGCTAAATCTGGCAACCCGATGTCCCCGCTACTAGTGAAACGCATGGTTGGTGGCCACGCAGTTAATAAACAACCCAAAGCCTCAAGGACTGACTGGAAGGACTATTCTGAAAGTACAGTGAAGGTGAGATTTGACTTCTCAGGGCCTGGGAGACCCTGGAAATAAAATGAAGTATTTTTTGCTTAAAAAGGGCAGGGAAAAAAAAAATCAGCAAAACATAAATGTTACAGCATCCACCTTACAATAAGGACACCATTAGTGACTGTTCCTATTTGCAGGAGTAAGTGCTTTCGGAGACACGATCCTGTTCTAAGAAGGAGAAAGCAGCACTGAGACCCGGTGCTGCCACGGTTCAAGAAGTCTGTCCAAGGTCACAGCAAGAAAGTGAACTGGAAGCCTGGCCATTAGATCCTGAAGTCTGAGGTCTTTATCATAACCCGTTTCCCAAAACACAGGGAGGGAGGGAGGAGGAGGGAGGGAGGGCAACACGTTCTTGTCCCCTTCCCCCAAACACAGGCCTGGCCAAGTGAGCTAGGCAGTACTGCCCGCCTCCAGGCTGCCTGTCCTGCCACCCACAGGGCAGAAAACCCCATAGCTCCATCTGCCCTCCCTGCAGAGCAGCTGGCCAACTGGCCCTACAGGAGCAGCTGTCAGGGTGCAAGAGCCTCTGTCCTGCTGGGAACCTGGAGCAGAAAGCTCCACCACGCCTCCTTGAACAGAGAAAGGCAGCTTGCCCCCAGCCCCTTTCTCACCTCCTGGGCCCTGACAGAAGGGACTCAGGCCCAGACACTGGTTCTTTCTTTGCACAGGCTCTAAGACAGGGGACAACCCTAGCCTTCCCTCTGGGAATCCCACCAGAGAGGGGACTGTGGGCTTGTTTTCCTGTGTGTGTTTTGGCCTTGCAGCTGTTACTGCCATTTTTAAATGGCTCCAGTTAGGCACTGGGCACCCTGCGTGCCCTGGGGGGCTCCCACAGCCCCTGAAAACTCCGATCTCAACTTTGGAAGGCCTCCCCTTCTCACGGTTCTGAAAATTCTTTGTCCCATTGGAGCCAAACCCAGCCCTCGGCCGGGCATCCGGCCATCCGCAGAGAGCCCTTTCCATAGGAGGCCCAGGGGCACGTGGACTTTATTGATTTTCCTCTTGCCTTTTTTGTTGGGTTTGACTCAGAACGGACAGCTAACTTGTGATCCGGCGAGGCTGGAGGCTCACCCCCAGTGGTTTTTAGAGACCAAGGCCTTACTCAAGAAATGCCACCCCTGAACATAAACACACCCCACCAGGGGCCTGCCCAGTTTTTTAGGCTTTAAGTAAAAGGTCAGGACGAGCTGGCGAGGGCTGACACTCGGGAACGTCGAGGCTGCTCCTCCCTCTCCCTGACCCAGGTGAAGCCGTGGGAAAAAAATAATAATAATAATAATAATAATAAAGTTGAAATCAAGGAGCCGGGAGTTTTCAACAAGTCCGCCCGGGGGGGATGTGCTTGCGCGGTGATGTGCTTGCGCCCGGGGCCTGGCCCACGGCGGCCGATCCCGGGCCAGACCCTAGACCAGACGGCGAACACGTCCGGTCACATGAATCGCAACGAGGCCACGGCGGACGGGCTCCAGCGTGAGCTCCAACAACACGCGCGGCCGACAGCGAACCTTCTCTCCCCCGCGCAGAGAACAAAAACAACGGCTCTCGGCACCACGCGCACGAGCCGCTGCTCTGGGAAGGGCGGACTCGGCCGAGGAGCCGCTTCGGGCCACAAGGATGGGCCC